GCAAATTGCTGTCCCCAAAATAGAGAGACTTCAATGAGTGGGGGTGTATTCCAAATAGAATAAAAACAATTAGGATTATCACACAAACCGAGTTAAATGCTTTCCTTTAAAGAGATTAATTTCACCTGCAGACCATAGAACGAATTGGTATCATCTGCAAATAAAATCAGTCCAGATAATTATAAATATATAAACCTATAAGTGAGGAACGCACAAAAACTGGAATATAAATTAATTAAGGGGTCAAAGACTGGTATGGACTCCGTGTGGAAGCGGGGTCGAATACCTCCACTGTGATCGTGCGAGTCGTAGGAGGCGACGAAAAGTGAAGTCTCAAATCTGAGACAGTAAAATATGGTCGATGCGCTGGCAAGGACCAGCAGCATGTACAAAAGACAGACCCGTCCTCTCGTCAGAGAAGGCGCCCCACAGAAACGAGACCGTAACTGTCAAACGGTAATAATTCATATCTGGTCATGAGCCCCATCGAAGATTTACTGACTGACTGACTGACCGTCAGTCGCAATGTAACTTTGACTTTGACTTTGACTTTGACTTTGGCTGGTATGGGTCTCACAGAGGAGCACTGACTCCAGTAGGTTATTCTTATTAAGTTGTGAGAGATGCTCTCCTGCGAAGCGGGCTTTGTCCTTCCTCCATGAAGTGGCTCTGGGTGCATTCCAACGTGAGAGCATGGAGGGTACTAAACGGGAGTAAGGTGACGGGCGAGTGTCTGGCGCCCTAAAACGGAACTATTTGGCTAAGGGTGTAAATCCTGACAGAAACTCTGTGATCCTCCAGAAATTTTGAGGGTTGGACTCGAGGCTGATGCCCTCATCCTGTAAACATTTTAAGTCGAGAATACAAACAAGACAATTAATGTCCTGGAATTAGCTAGGGCCCCAACTGTGTTATAGAGCCATCCTTTTTCTCCTTCTTCTTCTGCTCCTAGTTGGAACATAGGGCATCCGTGAAACGCTTTGTTTCACTTCAGTTCCCTAATCTAAGGCAGTCGGCAGGACTCCTTGGATGGGGGATCAGCCCGTCTCAAGCCCGCTATCTAACAGAAACAGATATCCATGCCTTGAGTGGGATTCGAATTTATGATCCTAGGGTTAGAGCGGGAGAAGACATTTCATGTCTTAGACCGCGCGGCCACTGCGATCGGCGTAGAGCCATTAGTAGCAAACTGATTAAACTGCTATCAGTTTTGCTACGCCAGAACCTCTTCTCAATTTGCGCGACAATTGTGATCTTGAAAATGGGCTCGTAAATCAAACATAATATTCGCATAATTAAAAAAAAATAGCAGAAGGATAAGGGAAATCCCGGCTCAGTACTCATTCGAACATTTTCTTCCTTCGCTGAGTTTTAATATAAACTGTGCTTACAGGATTTCTTTTAAGTGTTACTGACAATAGTAAAGACACTGGGAAGCTTATCTCGAACAATAAAATAATTTTGAATGGAAAGTTTTGCTACTAAGTTGAACGCTGCGTGAGGTTATGGTATTGGGGGGGGGGGGGGTTGCTGGGGAAGGGGCTCATCTGCTTCCGATGATCCTGAGGCGATGATCGTGCAGAAGCAAGAGGTGGAGATGCCTCCTCACTTATTGGCAGCTGTTTGGCTTTCAAGATATCCGAGGAAGAGGGATAAGTTTTGGGATGTTTACTGCTTTGCTTTCCTTTCCTTTTCAAAACGCATAATTCTGGAGGAAAGCTCGGCGTAAATTAAAGAAAACTGTGTCAATACAACAACAGCAAAATTAAAAAAAAAATGCGTAAATGAAATGCTTATAAATCTAGAAGGAGATGTAAACTGTATTGTTGGTCCTCAGTCTGTTCTTGTAATGGCAGTTACACTTACTACGTATACTGTATTCCATTTGACATCTATGAATACCGAGTCGATCACAGTGGCTACACGGTCTAAGGCATGAACTGTCTTCGCTCGCTGAAACGCTGGGATCGTGGGTTCGAATCCCACTCAAGACATGTGACTGTGTTGTCCTGTCTGCAAGTAGCGGCCTTGCTACAGGCTGATCCGTCATCCAAGGAGTCCTACCGACTGTGTATTGGAACAAGAATCTGCAAAGCGGCTAACATCCAACAAAGGGGTCTACAATTATATATCCTACTGACTTGCGAAAACTGAGCGTGGCAGAAATTATATTTTAAATAATTCATGAGAATTGGGCAGCATCCAGTAGATGTGGTCGCACCCCAAGTTAGAGAAACGGTTCCTTAAGGAAACGGGCATGTGAAACAGTGGTGTTACGCGGGATACAGTCTGGAAACCGCTGGGAGATTCGAGATCGGTAATCATACTTTACAGATTTCTACCTTGACGTCTTATGTATTATGTAACTTTATAAGAAGTCATTGCGACCACTGCTTTTGGAAAGAACTTGAAGGAAAGTAAGGTTTGATAGTGGCAGGACAGAATAAGATGTAGTGGAAGATTCAGAAAATAAAACGTAAATGAAGGGATGGGGCGGGGGGGGAGTAGAGATGGAGGGGGGAGTGTATGGGTTGCATACAAGAAGAGGGAGGGGGATTGAATTTAGCTTGGATGCGCAGTACAGCCGCAGGTCCCAGCTAATTACAGACACAGGTCGGGAAGGAGTTGTGCTATCTCTGATAAAGTTGGCTAAGGACTGGGAGGCGGGTGGGATATTCTCCCATTCCTACGGCTTAGTCTTTACGACGCTTTGGCCTACAGCAACTTTCCTCTTTCCCCCATTTCCTTTCCACTAAGTCTTCGCCGTCTCTCTTACTTCGTGTCTCCCCACTCCTGCTCGTGTGACGCGAAGGTTGCGCGTTAAGCTTAGGGTTCGTCAGTTAACCCGCTTCATCCCTCCCGCATTCACAATGGTACGCTTATTCGCACTCACATAAATTATGTCCTTTTTTAAATTGCACCACCAATCACTTGTACCTAATCTCCGTTTGCTTCATTTTATTATGTCGTTAGGTAGAATTCAGAGAAAGTTCTGCTGGATTTACCACCAACATTCCATTGCGGCATTAGATTACAAACCAGAGCTTAGCAACCTTTTTATTAATTAATATCGACGAAGCACAGTCCTTGTTTAGAACCTGATAGTCGCTCGCCTGGTCAATAAATTCCCACGTAATTTATAAAGATCGGAACCTTTCCGATCTTGTTCAAAAGCGTCAGATACCGGACTTTCTCCTAGTTAAATCTACACTACCTTCTTTTAATGTTGATTTCAATATTATCATTGGATCTAGATCTGAGTCTCCTAAGTTGTATCTCTACTTCCGGTATCCGACAGAAATGTTACTTGTATTTCACATCTCCCCAAGCGTAATACATGTTCCGGTTGAACTCAATCTTATTAATTTATTGATCGTAATTATATCTGTCGATCACGGTGGCCGCGCAGTCTAAGGTATGAAAGGTGTTCGCCCGCTCGAACTCTGGGATCATGGGTTCAAACCCCATTCAAGGTAACGAAGTCTGTTTGTGTTTATTTTGTATTTGTGTTAGGTAGCGCTTATACTCGGTCCAAGGGGTTCTACCGACTGTCTTTCAGAACAGCTGACATGGACACGGGGACTACTGGAGCAGGAAGCTCCCAGAAGACCAGGTAGACCGCCAGCAACAGTGATGACTTCTACCACAAAACTCATTCGAATCCAAAGCGACTTAAAAGACCACGTCAAAGGAGGGTGCAGTTTCCGAAATATACAAAAATGTACCCATATCAAAACAAAAGAAATACAACCTGGCGGAAAATAATCTCGATTATTTTAACTTCTCCTGAAATTTCGAAGAGCCTATCAAGCCAGTAATGTGTCACCTTTCCCCAGACACTCCAGTGGAAGGTATTTCCAACAGCCCTGATGGCATAGGCTGCGACAACAACAACGTGAGGCAAACAACGGTCACTCGAACAGCACCCAACGGACAAATCCACGTGGAACCTCTCCCTCAGTTTCTTGTTACCTTAACAAGAAACATAAAATCCCAAGAGATATTAAAACAGAATAGCCTTAACCATATTATAGTCAAGGTAGACTTCTCAATAACATACTGTATATGTGATACATACAGTTGACAAAAGACCAAGTATATTCATAAGAGACAAACCCATCCCCTCATCAGAGAGGATGTTACATAAGGACTATTACTACAAAGGTTCAGTTGCAAAAATATCTCTGGTCGTGAACCTCAAGGGGCTTGATGCCAAGGCGGAACTGATAGGCGGTAAACCGCCAGTCGTATAGCAATTCTGATTCGCTGACCCTGTTGAGAGTTGCAGTCGAGAATGTGAGGGTATTTGGAGCCATGAGTTAGATTCGAGACGGTTGCCAGCCTTTAACGACATGAGCGGAAGAGGGAATTGTTGGGATTCGTTACCAGACAAAAACTAGTGATGACGTCTAGTGTGTGTATTAGCGATAGCGCTATAATCCATTGAAATCACTAGTTGCAAGAGTTCTACAGATCCAATTACCAATCTAAACCTCGTGTCTAGTCACTAAACACTTGAGAATATTTATTTTCCCCGTTTGTGCTACATGCCATACCCATTTTATTCTCTTGATTTACTCACATTCACTCACTCACTCACTCACTCAGCCGAGCCTTCTTGAGAAGCCGCCAAGTATGCAGCTACTCAAGAACTTTCCACCATTTCATGGAACCCGAAGGTTCATTACCGTGTTCACAAGAGCCGTCCACTGGCCCCTATCCTGAGCCAGATCAATTCAATCCATACCATCCTACCCTATCTAAGATCCATTTTAATATTGTTCACCCACCTACACCTTGACCTTCCCAGCGGTCTCTTTCCTTCTAGCTTTCCCACCAATATCCTATATGCATTCCTCTTCTCCCTCATTCGTACTACATGCCTTGCGATTTACTTACACTATAATAAAATGTTAATATTTTATAAAACAAAAGAACATGAACCTAATTTTCCATTGATTGCAGGAAGCTGTGTTTTCAGTTTGGAGATGAGTACTTACCATTGAGGACGTGAACCGTGATGCTTTTGGATTGGGCGTTGGAAGGGTTGCACTGATAGCGACCCGAGTCAGAAGGTCGAGCTTTCTGGATGAGCAGGAAGCTTGTGGTTGTTTCCCCCTTCTCTGTGATGACACTGACGCCACCACGCGGCGAATCGTAACTGATTATCTGTAAACACACAGACATAATACTTACACATTAAGGTCACGTTCCACTGTCCGTACGTCACTAATTGTACGTCACTAACCTATCCATTGCTAACGTACGGGTAACATGGTCATCTTTCGGTTCTGAAACACGAGGGATGAAACATTAGCTCTAAAGGGTTGCGGTACAGGGCCGTACGTAATATAATCAGCACATGTATCTATGGCTCTGCAGTTCTTATGGACCTTGGGCAGTTTTTTCAGTTTCGTAATCCTATACACAGTCGGTAGGACTCCTTGGGCGGGGGATCAGCCCGTCGCAAGGCCGCTACCTACACACAGAATAACACAAACACAGACATCCATTATATTTCAGCATCCCGTGTTTCGGCCTCATTGGGCCATCATCAGGTGAATTCTATCCTCGAGTGAGACCACTGCACTGCATTTGTTTTCGTGCTTCTCTCGTGCACGTCATTATTTTACTTCATGCTAGTTGTTAAATTTAATTTTTATTCAGCTATTTTACGGCTGTTATCACTGTAATATACAACATGTGATAGAATGACTAGTGTACGCTTTTTGGCGATCTTGATATCATATACGATATGTGTACTTACGTTTGTCGTGTTTCCTTATGTCAGTGTTCCCATTGTGGCCTACCAGTATACTGAACGTAATGTCATTGCTCTTGTTTCTAACTTATTCTGTATGGTGTGTGTGGTGCCATCTATCGTAGAGTTTGTGTATCATTTGAAATATTGGGTTGTGTGTTTCTATATGTACGTCTTTCATATGTAGATTATTTTTCTATATTTTGTAGATGTGGTATCTTTCAAGTGTATACCTTTTCTACCAATTTTTACGACATCCATAGTATCCTCTATTTTGCCGTAAGAGTGTCCCGTATCTAATATATTGTTCGAATATCCTGATTTGCTGCAGTTACTCCTAATAGCCTTGTATCTCATCTTAAACCTCCTTCCAGTTTGGCCAACGTATTTCAATGAACAAACAAAGCACTTCATTTCGTATATGCCGCTATTGCCATCTTTCCCAATTTCGGTGTGTTGTGTTTTTCCACTGAATGTAAAAGTAGCCCATTTTCTTTTTTGTTGTTTTGGATTTTCCTTTGCATTTTGTTTATGTGGTATTGAATGTATGAGGGTTAGGTCTCCTCGGTCCTTGCACCGCGACTTACAGTGGTCTGAAATTAAATTTGTGTTGTGTCCATTTCTATAAGATGTTTTTTATTGTACTCCCTTCTGTTTGTTTTGATTCTCTAGTGACTGGGTATGTATGTAGTCGGTTGGGCAGATATCTTACACCAGATAGTTTTTGTTCGTATGGGTGACATGAGTTATTAGGTACTGTAACGTGTTTGGAGTAGGTACTTCCATGGTAGCACAATAACAGTGGGCCGTTACGTAGAGAATGCCGAAACAACGAAAGCGTTTCCCTGAAGACGAACAACAGAAGGTTCGCTGCGCAACAGCGGACTGTCGAAACAGCAGAAACGGAACCTTGAGAAATGGTGTCTGGTATCCGGTCCGCATAACGCCTATATAAGAGAGCTTGAAGCAGAGCTAGACAGACACTTACGAACGAGACAGTTGAGATCCAGCTACCGCCAAGGACAGTTCAGGTGTGGCAGCCGCGGTAGAAGTACTGAAGCAGAGACAGTAGCTGTAATACTGCAAGCGATAGTAATTGTATTCCTGACGTTAAACAAGCGTGGATGAATGAGTTCAATAAATAATCGTTGAATATAAGGCTACGTGAATTTATTTGTCGCGTGACATACCAAACACGTGACAACNGTTAAGCAAGTGTGGATGAATGAGTTCAATAAACAATCGTTGAATCTAAGGCTACATGAATTTATTTGTCGCGTGACATACCCAGCACGTGACAACTGGTGTCAGAAGTGGGATTGGATTTACACACGTGACAGGCAGGATACTNTACCGCCAAGGACAGTTCAGGTGTGGCAGCCGCGGTAGAAGTACTGAAGCAGAGACAGTAGCTGTAATACTGCAAGCGATAGTAATTGTATTCCTGACGTTAAACAAGCGTGGATGAATGAGTTCAATAAATAATCGTTGAATATAAGGCTACGTGAATTTATTTGTCGCGTGACATACCAAACACGTGACAACTAGTGTCAGAAGTGGGATTGGATTTACACACGTGACAGGCAGGATACTAACTTAAACTTACGAGCAGAACAAGCGTTACCTGAAAAAAAAATGGAGACACAGCAGATGATGAAATTCCTTCTGAAAGAACTGAGGGCCTGCCAAGAACAAATGATAGCCATGATGGACGCCAAGCAGACGAAGGCGGACGCCAGACACGAAGAAGCGAGAAGCAACCAGGCGAAGACGAAGGCCAGCCACGAAGAGTTACTGGCCAAATTTGGAAATATGACCGCCCACCGAGCCAAAAGACACGTAAAGGCAATGGCCTGCCAAGAGATGTACGCACGTCCAAAAGAGAAAAAGCCGACCTCATTGGACAGGAAACTTGAGGCGGCAGAACAACGAGAGGTCCCCGAGGAGAATGTCGAAATAAGACCGGTCGGAGAACCGAAGAAGAAAAGGCGTAAGGATCTAAAACTGGCCGCGGAGCGCCGCCGCCAGATAAATGAACGGACCCAGTGTCAGGATGGGTGCCGAAGAAAAGTACTGGCCGTTGCCGGAAGAGGGACGAGCCGCCGTGTGAAAGCGACACAGCAGACTAAGAAAAACGACAAGAAGATGTCCCGCCGTGCAACAGTGGCATGACTCGAAAGAGACATCCTCAGGGCGAACAAGACTCGGGAAAAGTGTCAACCGCGGAAGGAACTGGCCGCTGAGAGAATCAGGATGACCCGCCGCGCAGAAGTGGCACGGTGTAGAAGACACAGGGACAGGGACATTGCTGCAGCAAGATCCCAGAAAAGACAAGCGCTCAGGAAGCGACGTAGAAGGCACCCAGGAGACAACAGAAGAATAAGGAGCCGAAACTTCAAGGAACCCATTCCTAGCAGCATGAAGCCATTACACGAGGCCCTCGGACAAGCTCTCGAGTCGGAGGGCGCGAGGGGAACCATCTGGACTTCCAGTAGGTTAAGAGAGGTGACACACTGGACAATGTGGAGGGGTCGACCCACTCCGAAACAGAAAAAGAAAGGAAACAGCCCGTGTGGGAGGAACCGCTAACACAGAAGCACTAGCCTGCCCATCGAGAGTGAATGAGCGACGAATGTAAATATTACTTTCAATTGAAATTTGTAAATAATTGATAAATACTGATGTTCACTTACAATTGTTGGGCGAACAACGCAGATATTTTCGCTATAAATCCTTCAATTTTTTCACCTTTAAAAATTATAACACTCTTTTAGAATATGACTCAAATATCAGAGTCATGTCGGCTCGCAACAGAATAATTGTGACGCAAGCTGTAGTCGGCTGTAGCGTGAGACTGCTTTTACCGGTTCTCACGGTCTCTTTGCTTGCAGATTTCTTATATATTTTTCTTCTACCCTGAAGATGGAGGCCATACGTTCCTCCGAAACGTCGGTTAACACCACATATACACGGTGCCAAATCCCAGAAGACTGCTTTCTTCATAGTCACCGCCGTGAAAGCCTCAAATCTTACATGTAACTCACTCATAGTGTTATAGCACAGGGAAGTTGCTACCTTCTTGTGAACTGCCTATACTGATTCCCCCATGGATGGTTCTAGGCCAAAATCTTTGGTTCTGTTCCAGCATAAAGCGTATCCTAAAATGAGTTATGAAACCTACATATTTCAAGAATAAATTAATTAATAAATAATAAATAACAAACAGCAAGTTGAAACTCGTGAAGGAGGCATTCCGACTACAGGGAATGGCGACACTGCCTTATGCGAGCTCCAGGTCCCACTGGCCCGGTGGGTAGCACCTGGTAAAAACCCCTTCCCAAGGTTACTTAGTGGGCAGACAGGACTCGTTAGCCAGGGCAGGTAAATTATATAAGGGAAGGAAACCCTAAATACAAATCTACAGTCTTCCAAGAGAGACGGGTATTGCAACAGACTGATAATCTGCTCAAGCAAACAGAGCAACTCATTCTTAAAGATGCCTCATGTTTGAGGACGAATCGGGATAACTGAGTCGATTTAGCAACGGGGTTATGGGCTGGATGTTCCAGGTTCGTTTCCCGGCATAGTAAGATTTTCTCTTCTCCACACCGTCCAGACCGGCTCTGAGGCCCACCCAGCCCTCTGTCTAATGGGTAGCTGGTGATCTTTCCCCAGGGTCATAGCGGCCGGGGCGTGAAGCTGACCACTCACCTACATCTAGTACCGAGGTCAAGAATGATAGAGATATACCTTCACTCCCCAATATGTCTTTATGGCATAGTGATTAATTAATTAAGGACAAGGACCACCTTGCCTTTGATTCATGTTTGAGGACGGAACGGGCTAACAAGCTCAAACTTGTAGTTAATGATGATGATTTCATTTTATTCATCAGTAATCTGTCAGACGACAGGTCCACAGTCTCTTCCAAAAAAGTTCCTCCACTTGATGCGATCTCAACTTTCTCCTCTTCTGTCCCCAAGGTCATCCAGCATCTTCTTACGTCTTCTTCCTCGTTTTCTGGGCACTTCTATCCGCCCCTCCGCTTTGTTTTGTCTCCAGAGGAAATAGTTCGCATACNTCTGTTTTTGGAAAGAGACTATCCAGGAAAAGTGATAATGTGGTAGTTTTTCCATTTGCTTTCCACATCGCAGTACAACAGCCGTTCAAACCACTCTGGTCACGCCTGCTGCTATACGAACTTGAACCATCTCGAGCATCATTTGCTCTGTGCTTCAAGTCCCTGCTGATGACGCTGCTTCCGGTATCAGTTTTTGGTTTTTGGTGTCTCTCTTCGTCTGATGCCTACTCTTTGACTTGTAAATAATGAATACGCAAACATAGATTATCTGGATATATTTAGAGTGTGCTAGTTGTAAAAGTAAGTGCATAAACAGCACAAACGTAC